TTTTGTTTATGGTTTTATCGTTAATGTTGCTGAATTTTTAAACTTTGTTTTGAACACAGTCGAAGTCGTGCTGCGCGTAATTCCAGTGGCACAAACTTCAATAACCAACCCAACAACCAACAGTTGAATCGCATAAATTGAAAATTGTCTGTCCGTTTAAGTATCGTCATGGAGCTACACATCTGGTCTGGTTTGTTCTGGTCTGATCACTATGTTGTTGTTTTGGGATTTTCTTTTGCTCTTGACTTTCAGGAATTTAGCGTATGAAATAGCTACGCGACGCCAAGAATTTTTCGTTTCTTTTTAATATCTGTAATGCTCCCCGCTTCAAAATATGCTCATCTATATACTTACATATATAATGCCATACTTTACAATTTTATATAGATATTTTTGTTTTTGCTTTTGCTTTTGTTTTTAATTTTATTTTTATTTTATTTTATTTTGTAAAGATTCATTTCTTTGTTTTGCTTCATTTTAAGTTTTATTTTTATTTATACGTATTTTTTTTTTTTTTGTATTTAATTTTTGTCTACTTTTCCTTTACTTGAATGAAAAAAGTATCTAATTTGATTTCTTTGTATCTTTTTCGTATTCAGTTATATTTGTTTGTTTGTTTGTTTGTTTGTTTGTTTGTGTGTAAGAGTTCGACCAAGAATGTGATTAATTTATGCAATATTTTTTTTTGCCTTTGTTTCGTTCCTTTTTCTTTGCAGTAAAATAAACAATTTCTTTTGAAAGTACTTTTTTTAATATGTATACATTTTTTTTTACTGAATATGATTTAAACATTCTTAAAATATAAACAATGTCTATAAATATCATATGAGAATTTTACTTCTGACAAATAAAATAATGTTTTCTTTTAAATCCCTACAGGCTGCATGCCTGATGGTACCTGAATCTCAAGAATATGGTACATAACATATATTGCTTTCTTTCTTTTAAATTTCTTTTGGCTATGGTAACGTTGTATGGTATCCCACAAATGAAAAATTGCTTTCCTTTTTTGAAATCTTTCCTAGCTAAATCTTGTTGCCTGATGGTACCTGAATCTCAAGAATATGGTACATAACATATATTGCTTTCTTTCTTTTAAATTTCCTTTGGCTATGGTTACGTGTCTGAATTTTCAAAATATTGTATATCCCACAAATGAAATATTGCTTTCCTTTTTTGAAATCTTTCCTAGCTAAATCTACGTGCCTGATGGTACCTGAATTTCAAAAATATGGTAGATATCAGAGAAATTCTTACAAAAAAAATATTGTTTTCTTTTAAAGGGAATTTAGATCCCTTTGACTATGGATACGTGCCTGATGGAACCTAAATCTTGAAAATATGGTAGATTTCAGAGCGATTCCCACATATAAAATATGACTGATGGTACCTGAATTTCAAAAATATGGTAGATATCAGAGAAATTCTTACAAAAAAAATATTGTTTTCTTTTAAGGAGAATTTAAATCCCTTTGGCTATGGATACGTGCCTGATGGAACCTAAATCTTGAAAATATGGTAGATATCAGAGCGATTCCCGCATATAAAATATGGCTTTCTTTCTTTTAAATTCCCTCTGGCTAAGTTTACGTCATTAACGGTACCTGTATCTTATAAATATGGTAGATGTTAAAGACGTTCTCGTAAATCAAATATGTATATCTTTTAAATTCTCCTTGGCTACATGTTTGTTCGTAACCAAATCTCAAAATAATGATAGATGTCAAACAATCCACTGAAAAAAATATTAATTTCTTCCTTTTAAATTCTACGTGGTTACCTGATAGTGCCCGAAACTCAAAAATATGTTGGATGAAGATCCAAAATTTAACGTGGATACCGTGCACCGTGAAGGCTAAACACCACGGTTTTCTTTATACACGTATCTGTATATTGCACTGATGAACCCTCCATTGGAACTCCGAGGAATACCGCCGGTACTAGTTGAAGTTATGCCTTTGAGCACAATTTCCCCCGTTGTGAAGAGTGAGGCCTATCTAAAACTTCTGCTGATCTTTGGGTCAAAGTAACCGGTTGAAAAATGCAACTCCACATTAACCACAACCACCACGACGCTTTTTATTAAGGAGCCAACCTCAATGGTCAGGGTAGCTGATGCTGCAGGCTGAAATCATCCACCTTATACACGTAATGCACCTATTTATACATATTGCCTTGCAATATCTAATGTATCTAGTCTGTTAAAAGTACCGTACTAATATCATGTCCATCTGCGCTTCTCCTAACAATTCAATCGCCTAACCCTGTAGTACAGAGTACATTTTAAAACACAGATGATGACTTGCTGACTTATGCAGCTATTATATAGTACAGGTGTTCTCTATTAAACTGACTGTTAATTTGTCTCTGGAATGCAGCCATATTTCATAATGGTGGGTACCTATCACATGAACAAATTCCATTTATTTAAATATGTCTTAACAAAACAGCACAAATTTGTTCTGACGTATGAATATTAATTAATAAATTTGTGTGTTTTTGCTGAAAAAAAAGTAGTAGGTAGGTAGGTAGTAGATCATTTTAGACACCCATTAACGGAAAACGGTGCTTGATTAAAGGAAAATACTTATATAAAGCATTAATATTCGAAGACTAAATTAAATATTTTCTTAAAATTTTTGAGATATCTCATAAGTTTGATTACTACTTTAGAACAAGGTTCTTTTAGGTAGTAAATTAAAGGATACTTAATTAATTAAAAATTGGTTATTTAAATGAACCGTTTCTAATTTTTCGCTATTCTTTAACTGAACGTTTTTTTTTTTTTAGTAAGAGTCCTCTTTGATAACGTATCTCAGTAAATTTTAAAAATGAATCCTCATTGCTATATGAGTTTTTTGCTAGTTTTGAGTCAGCTTAGGAAATTATGAGGAGTATACCGGAAACGTAGTGTATATAGTACATATGACTGATGATATATAAATGCATATATAAGTATATGTATAAATATATATATAAGTATATATATAAATATATTTATAAGTATATGTATAAATATTTATATAAGTTTATGTATAAATATATATATAAGTATTTTTTTTTGAATTTCTGAAGTATTTAATTTTTTGAATTTCTAAAGTATTTAATTACTAAATAATATCAGAAAAACAAGCATCAATAAATTTTGAAAATTGATCAAAATTTAAATTTATTATCAATTTCATATTCCAAACGAAAAGTTTACCCTAAAATTTTGTTCATATTTTCATTTTCTGATTATTTTTTGCAGCACTTTTATGCTCTTTTTTTTTCCTTTTTTCATCGTTTTGTAATTCAGAATTGATGATCTTGTTTGGAATGTTGACAGTGCCTTGCGACTCTGGCTGCTGTTCTGGTGTTACTAAGACTGCTGTTGCTCTGTGCTCATGCCAAGTGTAGAATTTGGCTGACTTGGCTATATAATACATATTCGATACAAACATTGGCTATGAAGGCATATACACAAACATTCATACAAACCAAATACAAATTTCTTAGCAATTTTAAAATACAATTTTAAAAAATTCCAAATGTTTATTTATTTTATTTTGATCTCAATTGTTTGACAATGATACCTCCTCCTCGTCTGCTGTTATCTCTGGTTTAATTTTTAAACGTTTGGTTGTTTATTATGATATTGTTGTTGTTGTCTTTCTTTGCGTGTGTCCTTTAGATATAGCACCATTTGTAATTTATTTATATATTTTGTAGCTTAAAAATTTTTTAAGTAATTTGTCAACATTGATCTTTGCTTGCTCTTTGACATTACTTGGCTTCTTGAAAATTTATTTAAATATATAAATTAATATTGATATAGCACATTTTGTACGAAAAGATATCAATTCATCTTTTGAATAATCTGAACATTGTAATGTCTTTTAAGAAGAAGTTATCACTATTAGCTATAACACTATATGTTTCTTTTTACACTAAAGAATGGGTTTAATATAGTCCTTATTTAAAAATTGTCAACTGACTGTAGCTTATTCATTGAAAATTTTCCAGAGACTTGTTCATTCTCTAGAGGAGATTAACATAAATAATAATTAAATACTAATTTATTCATCAAAAACAATCCAGAGGATTGTGCATTCTCCAGAGGAGATGAAAATAAGTCTGCTGATAGCGACTTGAAACCTGCTTTTTAATATAATACAGAGTGCTATAGTCGCGTACGATACTCGTATATATTGCTGTGTATGATTCTATTAAAATTACATAAATTTATACAGTGAAAACTTACGTGAACAAACACTCATCACAACCCAATTTTTTGTTCGTCCAAGAGAGGTATTGAGGATCTTGACCAATTACAAGACCTGACACTAAAAAGCATTTTGAGCTTCGCCAAATGTTCCAGGTGATTTTAAACCCTGGATTTTTTCTCTATATATGGTAACACAATGGGCCAATAGGCCTAAGGGGATTGCCGGTATCTAACCTAACTTAAGAGAGGTATTGACCAAAAAGGGGTTCAGTTCTTTCAAATAATATAGAAAGAAGTATAGCTGCTCATCTAAAAGTTATGTCCTCTTGGAGAATTTGTGTTGTATCAAGTTTTGGGAGCTTCATTTTTGAAAAATCACGCTGGGATTACTAACTTAAGCACCTTTAAGTTTGTTAAAATGTAAAATGTGCCAATAGTTCAAGAGGTCACTTTATTAATGATTATCTAATGCCGCAATAAATTTATATATATAATATATATGAAATATAAAATTCTCAGATATGAAGGTATTATTTGTTAGATAGGTGGATAATACCTATCTATATAATGTAGAAAGTACCACTAGTATAAGTCACAGACAATTTGGTTTTTTTTTTTAATTTTACAGCATAAGTCTATTTTTATTAATTTATTAAAATTGTGATTTTAAATTAATAGTTAATTTTGCTCTCCAAATTTTAGAAGACTTTAAAAATACAAACTGATTTTAAAACTATCATGTTAATAACATAATATATACCTATGCCTTATTTTTGAAATGTTGTATTTTTTCATTACAGAATTCTCTTTCGCGTATCAATGGACGTTCCGATGTCTACGACTATCAATATTCAAAGCCGCCGATGGAGCCACCATCGTCGGCAACACCATCACCTGCAGTACTGTCGGCGGCTCAAATGAATGGCCATGTACCAAAAGTATTAACAACATTAATACCAACAAAATTAAGTCGAAAGCCGAGCATAGAACGAGAAATTCCTTTAACCTGCCTTAGATGTAGTCCTGCATTGGATTCTGGTGCGGGCAGTTCCCGATCAGACAGCCCGCATTCACATCAGCAAGTTACATGTGTTAGTCGTGCAAGCACTGGTCCATATTCACCATCGCCATCAAATTTTAGTGATGTTGGACCACCTGCGCCACCACCAAGAAATCCTACTTTATCTTCATCTGCGACTCCACCACCACCACCGCCTTCGAATCAACTATATAAACGTCGTTCACCAGCTACAACCCGCCCTGCTGCTATTACTCCAAATCCAACAAGGGGCACTTCTCCTGTTATACCACAAAATGGCATTAAAGCCCAACAACAATTGTCACAACAAATGAAAGCATTAAGTTTATACCAGTCCGGTGGTAGTGCTGTAGAACCGCCACCACCTTATCCTATAAATACTATAAATACCGTCGTAGTAACTACTTCTGCACCGCCACCAAGCTATACAGCCTCTATGCAATCGCGTCAATCACCGACGCAATCGCAATCAGATTATCGCAAATCCCCCAGCAGCGGAATATATTCTGCTACTTCAGCTGGTTCCCCTAGCCCAATAACCGTAACAAACAGTGCAATCCTACCATTGCAGGCAACAGCAGTTGCTCGACCACAGCCCCGCGCCTATCAAACGAGACAGCAGCCAATTATAATGCAGAGCGTTAAATCAACGCAGGTACAAAAGCCTGTGCTTCAGACAGCTGTAGCACCACAATCTCCGGTAACTACTTCGGCTTGTAATTCCCCTGTACACATCCTAAACGCACCACCTTCGTATCCACAGAAATCAGTTGCTGTTGTACAGCAGCAAGTGCAAGCACAACAACAATCTCCTCTGTTGGCTGGTGGAATGCCAACTACACTCATTACTTCTAAGCCAGTTCCGCCTACTCCTACTACGCCGCCACTTAATGGTGCAGTCGTGAATAAACCGCCTTGTATCGAACCACCGTCATATGCGAAGAGTATGCAAGCAAAAGCAGCGCAGCATCACCAACATCAACAGCAACAACAACAACAGCAGGCTGTTGTTGCCGCAGCTGTTGCAGCGCAGCAAGCACAACTGCGTGCTGCTGCTGCAGCTCTAGCTGCGCAACAAAAGCAAGCAATTGCAGCGCCACCAGTAAGTAGCCGACAATTACCGCCACCACCACCGTACCAGAGTACACGTGCGGCAGCACCACCACCACAAATAAATTCAGATAATAACAATATGGATATGGATATAAAAAGCAATGGCGGTTTGCATAATAACAATCCAAATATAAATTATAATTTAATTAACAATAATCATATAATGAATAGTAACCTGACAACAACGCCGCCGATACCACCCGCTAAACACAACGGTGGAAGCGGTGGTACAACAAGTTCGGGCAGTGGAGGAGGCTCTCCGGCAAATTCGGCATCAGTTGCTGGTGCGGGTGGTAAAGGCTCTGAAAATTGTAAAAAAATCAAACATGCCTCACCAATACCGGAACGCAAAAAAGTTTCTAAAGAGAAGGAAGAAGAGCGTAAGGAGTGTCGAATACGACAATATTCTCCACAAGCTTTTAAATTCTATATGGAACAACATATCGAAAATGTACTCAAATCCTATAAACAGCGCACGTTCCGTAAGAATCAATTGGAAAAAGAGATGATAAAAATTGGACTCTCAACGCAAACCCAAGTCGAAATGCGCAAAATGCTTAACCAAAAGGAGAGTAATTACATACGCCTGAAGCGTGCCAAAATGGATAAGAGTATGTTTGTAAAAATTAAACATATAGGCGTGGGTGCATTTGGAGAAGTATCTCTGGTGAAAAAAATTGATACAACAAATCATTTATATGCCATGAAGACGCTGCGAAAGGCCGACGTTTTAAAGCGGAATCAGGTAGCGCATGTGAAAGCAGAACGTGATATTTTAGCAGAAGCCGATAATAACTGGGTTGTTAAGCTGTACTACAGTTTTCAGGATAATGAAAATCTATATTTTGTGATGGATTATATACCAGGTAAACTGAAAATACAAATATTTTGTAATAACATGGATATATTTGATATGTATTCCTAAAACTTTTAGGTGGAGATCTTATGTCATTATTAATTAAAAAGGGTATCTTTGAAGAACCATTGGCTCGATTTTATATAGCAGAATTAACTTGCGCAGTAGAAAGTGTGCATAAAATGGGTTTCATTCATAGGTAGGCATTTAAAAATTACACACATATATATAATGAATGGAACAAATTTATAATGTCTTTACAGGGATATAAAACCTGATAATATACTCATCGATAGAGACGGTCACATAAAACTAACTGATTTTGGATTGTGTACTGGTTTTAGATGGACACATAATTCAAAATATTATCAAGAAAATGGTAAATATAAATGATAATATTAAGTTAAAAATTAACATTAATTAATATATATATATTTTTAGGAAATCATTCTAGGCAGGATTCTATGGAGCCTTGGGAGGAGTACTCAGAAAATGGTCCAAAACCAACTGTGTTGGAAAGGTAAAATTAAGTCGTTTTAAATAATAAAATATTCGAGTTATTCAGTCTATTCCTAAAACAAAAACTATGAACTGAAACGATTGTAAATTACATTTAAAATATTTAAAAATAGTTAATTTTTTAAATCTCAGAGTTGTGTTTCTTCTCTTTGTTTCTCTTCCCTTTTCTTTTTTTATTCTCTTCTCTTTTCGAGAGTCGAGTTGAATTTTGCTTTAAATATAATCAATAAAATAATTCATCAAACCTAATTGTATTATGTATAGAATGAAGTCACAAGACGAACAGCAATAGAGCTATATGCTTCATTCATTATAATAAATCCAAATGAAAAGATTGAAACAAACAATTACTTGCTTGTACTGCGCTTGTTGAAAGAGGTAAACCACGCTTTATCGTCTGTAAGGACTTAGGAATATAGCTCTATTCCCTATGCTGTCGCCCATCTGTTTTTATGTCCAAATGCACACAAAAATTTGAGTCCTATTGATTTATGACTCTGTTCCATAAGCGTGACAAGATTCTTTTATTAGATTGGTTTTAATATTGTGTTCATCCTTTTCCTCCATTCTTACCTTATACTTCCTCACTTAATGACACAAAATGTTCTATAATTATAATTAGAAAATTATTATTATTAATAATGGAGAAGATTATACAAAGCGACTCTGGTGGTCTATTGTGATAAATTCGGTTGTTTTTACTGTTCATTTGGCTTTGAACTAACGTGAGCTTTATTGACTATTATAAACTGAAAAAATGGACAACAGACTTGTCATCCAGATAAATAACCCTCTTTTCCGCTCAATTTGGAAAACTCACAGAGGCTTTACATCTGAACAATATTAAAGCGTTATTATCTATTTTACAAAAATGACAAATAATGGTCTCTTAAAAGTCCATTTTTTTGATATGGTATCTTAACCTGTACTGTCCTCTCACAATATTTCGTTCCTTCAGAAGTCCAGATACCTAACTTTTTCTATATGTACCAATTTAAGAGTATCTTTCTAAAAATCATATTTTTTAAATTTATTTTAGGAGGAGAATGCGTGATCACCAAAGAGTTTTAGCACATTCACTTGTAGGCACCCCAAATTATATAGCACCTGAAGTTTTGGAACGTAGTGGGTACACGCAACTTTGTGATTGGTGGAGTGTGGGTGTTATACTCTATGAAATGTTGGTCGGTCAGCCACCATTTTTAGCAAATACGCCTGTTGAAACGCAGCAAAAGGTAAAATATAATATATTTATAAACTAAAAATTGGTAATAATTTGTTTTTGTGTTTCATATTTTAGGTAATAAATTGGGAAAAAACATTAAATATACCGCCGTTGCCAATGTTAACACGAGAAGCAACAGATTTAATAAAACGTCTATGCTCGTCTGCCGATAAACGTTTAGGTAAAAATGCGGACGAGGTAAAAGCGCATGATTTTTTCAAAGGCGTCGATTTTGCGGATATGCGTAGACAAATTGCACCATATATTCCAAAGATTGAACATCCAACAGATACATCAAATTTCGATCCCATTGATGAGGATAAAATACGTTCGAATGACTCAAATCTAAGCGGTGATGATTTTAATTTAGCAGATAAACAGTTCCATGGATTTTTCGAATTTACATTTAGAAGATTTTTTGATGATAGACTTAATCCTGATATGATGGATGATCAATCCCCGGTTTATGTATAAGTATATTAAAATAACAAAATGAAACAAAAAACTACAGCATAATAGGTAGGGTGCAGATGGTTTAGCGGATTATAAATAGTTATTTTTATTTGATTAAAAACGTATATGGTATGCATGTACAGAGGTAGATACACAACAGTTTTGTGTACCGCATGTACAAATGGAATAGGCGGTACCTGTACTCTTTTAAAAAGTGCACATAGTTGCAACATTTATAGTCAATTTAAATAATTCAATACATTTAAGTACTGTAACGTTTTTCCATTTTGTACTCATAAGTGAATTAATGAAATTGTCGCAAAAAAATTAATAAATAAATAAATAATTCAAAAACTTTTTTTAACAAAATTATCCAAACATTATTATATTATTTTTTATAACAAAATCTTTAATAACAAAAATTAGAAAAATAAACACCCACCGCTTAAAAAATGGAAAACTTTGTTAAAAAAAAAAACAAACTAAGAATTTTTGTAATATAAAAAAAATTGTATTTTTAGTTATAATTTTAATTTAAATATTTAAATAATAAAAACTTATGTTAATAGCTTATTTTATTAATTTTTATTCTTTCTTAAAATTAGTGAAATTAATTGCCAAAAATAATACAAATATAAAGGTTTATAAAAATTAATAAGAGGAAACCTTTTAATTTATTGGTGGGCAACACTTAACTATGTTGAACTATTTGATTTTAATAATATTAAAAATAAATAAAACAAATGAACTGATAATAAAATTATAAACTCAAAATATATTTAGTCATATTACTATGATTACATTTTATACTATATATACATAGTTACATATAAAACAATTGTATACATTTATATGTATATATACATATTAAAAACAAATAATATAAGGTAATTTTTTTTAATAATTTATTCAATTTTATGTAAATGAAATGAAAGTTGTAATATGTTAATTAGTTAGATACTTTAAAAACAATTTTAAAACGCAGCCAATTGTAAAGAAAACAAAAATTTTAAAAATATATGTATTGTTGTGTAAATTTTTTTTTTTTGAAGGGATATAACAAATTAAAAGTATAATAATTTTTTATGTTTTATAATTTATGTTAATATATGAACTTAATTATAAATTATATCAATTTTTATTTCAGTTTAAATTCTTTATAATTTTTAGTTTTTTTTTTTTTGTAAAGTAATTCAAATAATGTCAAAAACGGTACATAGGATATATAATAATTTTGTTATTGTTTTATTTATAAATGCAAGAAAAGCAAATTGAAATACTTATATAGTTATAATTGCACTTTAACTTAAGAACAGTTTAGTATGAAGTCTATTTCAGCAGGCTGAATAGCAAATATTTTATAAAAACTAAGAACAATAATTTAATTAAGCTAAACTGTTATAAATTTTACTCTTCTTTTAGAAACAACGTAACAATTTTGGTAACTATTTTTATTAAAAAATACACAAAAGCCTTTATTTAAATAACAAAGATATTATTAACAGAAAATGAACTCAAAACAATCAAGCAATAAAATAATTATATTATATTAGTTTCTAAAATATAGAAATTTGGAATATTATAAAAGTATTTAAATAATATAAAAAATCTAAAAAATCATATCGCATTAAAAAAATTTAATGATTTATATACGAAGTGAAAGAGAGGTAGTGGATGTATTTTATAAGTTATTATTCTAATGTTTTTTGTAAGAATATTAAATATTAGTTAAACAATATCATATATGTTATATTGTATTTAAATTAGTGCTTCAAAGCGTTCGAAGATTACTTCGAGTCTACTCGAATTCGATGGTATGTGCGTTAGATGTTCGAATATCTACATCGAATATTCGTACATTTTTAAATAAATACTAGAATGCCAAATACTAGAGAAAATGCTCAAAACTTCGAATAACTGAGATAATATTTAAAGCACTAATTAAAAATATGTATTTATAGAATTAAACGAAATGTTTTTTAAGAAAACCTTAGTAATTTAATTAGATATTGTTTTTTATTAACAATTATTTCATTTTTTTATATTATTCGCATAACCGTTAAAATTTAAATTTGTCGATGCAGTTTGTCCTAAAGGAAGCAAGGTTTATTTTGGCCTTATAAAGCAGAATTATTGTGATATATTAACTAAAAATTGTTTAAATTTTTCATGTAAGAGCTATAGGTTAATATTGATCGCCCTGATAGCACAATGCATTCATTAGTTCTGTTATGATACACGGGAATTAAATTCTACTAAGGTCTGATATAAAAATACACCTTAAAAAAGATTTGTTGGTGTTGTTTCGGCTATAGAGCTTCAAGCACTCATTAGATTAGTAAAAAAAAACGCCTTCTAAAAAATGTAGGTAAGCTTAGTTCTATCTGGTGTCGCTAGGGACCAATTGCAATTGGTCTACGCATGGCTTAAAGCCAGCCAGATCGATTGATTTATATTCTTTTTCAGTTTTTTGCTTGTTCAATTTTCTTAACCATTTTAAGGAAATTAATGTTAAGTATATGATACTATTAGAATAAAAATTGAAAATTTGTGGATCAGTGCTGAACAATGATGTATAAAAATAAATATTTTATTAAAGCAAGAATTTAGACTAATTGAAAAATAATTATATTTTGCTTCAGTAGAATCTATTTTGTTTTACAAACTTGTTACGTTGTTAAAATTATTAGAATTATATCTATTGATTGATTATAATTTAAAAAAAAACATAACATATATAAAAACAACTAAATTAAAGTAACCGTATAAGCTGGTCTTATAATTCTATTATATTAATTTTCAATTAATTTATACATATTTGTGTTTTTTAAAATAAATATATTGCTAATTAAAGGTTGCTATATAAGTTTATATTCAAATATAATATTAACAGAGTTCTCACTAAAAGAAGAGAAAAACTGTATCATCAAAATCAATTGAAGTTGCAATTAAAATCTTCATATCTTTTTTAAATTAATTTTTTTTTATTAATTTTTTATAGTAAATATATTTTTGTTTTGTTAAAAATAATATCCTTTTTTTAATATTTAATCGTAATAACAACAACACATATATTTATTTGTTTCATAAACAAATCTATGTATACTAATTTCTGTTACAAACCTTGCTGCGAATCTTTAATATTATTAATATACCTTTTAATAATTTATATATATATAAATATATATATTTAAAACATAATTGTAAGCAAAATTGTTTATGAGGTATAAATTTAGTACTAATTTAGTTTAAAATTAAAGTTATTTTTTTTTTATATAATATAATATAATTTCATTTCTATAAAAGTATATTTTTATAATAATATACGAATTACTTAGTTGTTGTTCATAATTTTATATTTTTATTTTATTTCGTTGTGTATAAAAAAGATAATGAAATTAGTTGATGAAAATCATATATTTAAATATAAAATTTGAAAAAAAAAATTTTTTATTGTTTGAAATGAAATATGAAGAATAAATGTATTATTTTTAATAAAAGAAAAGATAGAAAGATTTTTGATAGAAAAGTACTTCGTAAGCTCTTTGATCTTGTAAGAGTCAGCGTCGATTATCACATCCGAATGAACTACAAGCTATACGGCCTTTATCATGATATTGATATAATTCAGCAAATTAACCGGCTTCGCTAGCTTCAGGAAAGATGTCTTTGAAAAGTTAATCGAAGAAAGAAGGCGCAGAGGTACACTGTCACGAGACTGGAGAAGGTGAGCACGCAGCAGAGGTGTCTGGAGCGAAGTTCTGCATTTGACCGAAACCCGTTAGCTGATTGTTATGGTCAATGCAGTAAGATAGAGACTTTTTGCGAGAAATATTAGATAAATACTTTATTATTTATTAAATTGCAATGAAAACACAATCTTAGTAAAGACATTAATTACGTGTAAAATGTTGACTTATGTCCAATGTTATGCCACGAAAGAACAAAGAATATTTCAGAATTGTTACCTCCACAAGAGTTGGTACTATCATGTTATCACGTTATATCTCTCATGTTAACTATTAACTAACTATCTTGGTAAAGAGCTAAAGAAAATTTTTTGTATAACTCTCTGGCTCCCTACGGAAAAAGTATTAAATTTGGAGAAGGTTTATAATAAAAACTATTATAATAAATTTTTCAATTTTTTTATATATGCGTATAAATAATGTCTACAATATATGTAACATATATAGTCGTTGCGGATTTTTTATTCACATAAAATGATGAAATCGGTAAATGTAATACTGCTTTTTAATATAAATCTTATATTGTTATTAAAATAATTGTTATAAGTAACTCCAATTACTTTCAGTTTGTTTTTAAAACAAAAAAATTATCAATTATGTGGCAGCATTCTAATTTTTTTATACCGCTAACTGTACTAAATTCGAACAACGCAACTCAATAGAAAGAGACAAAACAATACTTAACATAATTATATTAATAGCAATATTTAAATAATTAATTAAGTAAATCACAATTTCACAATTGCTTTAGTTTTAGGGAATTGAAACAAAAGTTATAAATATTAAATAGCTGGTTTAATTGATTTTATAACTAAAATATTTCAAAATAAATTTTTTATTAAAGAAAGAGACAACAAGTTATGATGATGGCTGCTAAGCACATAATTCGAACATAAAACTGAAACACCGCAAAGGTGCATTTGCGCGTGTGTATAAGTTTTAAAAATAATTCATATATCAACAGAGACCAATATAATTGCTAATAAATAATGTTATCGTGTTAAGAATTGAGTTATATATCAAAAAAAATATTTCTAAATTATGTTTATAATTAATTTTATATTTTTCCTTTGTTATTTCTATATTTTTGAACAAATACAAGATTTTATTTTAATGTAAATTATATTATAATAATTATTAATGTTTTTTAATCTCTTAATAACAAGTCTAATGCCAATGTAATTTCTTTTGGTAGGGACCAGGGATTATGTGCCTACCAATTTGTTTTCCATTCAATAATATTGGGGATTCCAATATTCGAACAATATAATTCTAACCACTACAACTTATAGAATATTTGATGAATTCATTATTGCAATTGGATTCCTTTTTAATGTTAATAGATTTACGTTATTAATACAGCTTTATGGTGTCACATCATGAAACAAATATATCATCCATTTGGATTGTTAGCTTTCGTTGGTGGAAAAATATAACTAGCTTTGTTCAAAAGTAATAATATTAGCAACAAATTCGTGGCTGAATATTTTGTCCTCACTGCTGTAATCATATCCTTAAATTGTAATTTTTTACCTTTGAAGTCTTACAAAACCTAACCCTTGCCTTGGTGTCTCTACTCCAACCATGACACTGAATATTTTTTAAATGGCCGGTATAG